AGGGATACTATTTTTATTGCACTTGATATTTGTAAATAATAATTAAACATAATATGGAAATATACTATAATAAATAGAAAAATGATAATAAAAGATTATTCTTCGTAAAAAATTTGAACACTTGTATATTACGTGTAATATATCCTTCGTGAAATGAACAGGAATAGATATTTTATTGTATATTTGTATTCATTAACCTTTTTAAAGACGCCAAGCTACGATGTACAGTTATTAGTACCAAATTAACGCACATTTGGCATTATGTATAGTTATAAATTGAAACAGTGTGCTTCCTATTATAGTATATTCTCCACAAGTGTCAGACCACAGGTCAACCTGATTCTTAATCCCTACGAAATTAATTTAACCACGAGTAAGTAACGAGAACGCTAAAACCTATGTGTCTATTGCAGAATATTGTAAAAACGTATAAATTGTTATATGCAACGGTATAACAAATTGTCGGAAGTATAAATTTATAACAAAATTGTGAAAATTGATAAATTATACCGTGTTACGATAACAGAAATCTCCCGCGAAAATTTCCCGCCTGACCTAACCGACGATTTTGCTAATGACTTTGGGGAGAGGGTACCGCAGGTATATAAGGACCCCCCGATGTCCGGCGAATTTATTCACCCTTTATACTGGGCCATAGACACTTCGCGGCATATTTTGACCTGAAGGTTCTGAGATGTGAATAGAGTGGTCGGGGGCTACTAGCTAGCCTATGTCCACACTGTAAATATTGATTCAACGTTTATTTGTTGCAATACCGTGAAATAAATTGTATTATATATTTTTTCTGTTTACACTAAATTTAAAGTTCTGTTTACATGTTATAACAATTAGAATGTAGACGTTTTGCCGTTTCACGGTTTTTCCTCTGTTAATTATGTGTTTATAAATCATTTCAAACTAAAGCAGCACCATGCCCACCCTTAATTAAACCGTCTCAGTAGTTTACCGTAATTAATAATCTATTTTCGGAATTTATACGAGAATTTTTGAATTTTAGTAAATACTAGAGTCAGTGTCCACCCTGTACACACTCAGCCTTCTTGTAACACTTGTATACATTAGAATCAATTAGAATTTCAATACAGTAGACTGAATAACAATTCATTTTAACTAATACCTATTAGAAATTTTCCTTTTAAAACAAATATAAATCATTTTACCAATTACTGGTACTTGCTAGACATTTAATATCAGACTTTAAATATTCTCCTTTCGGTTCTTTTAAATACAATCAAATAATTTCTTCAATTATCGATACTGACTTGGAATACTCCGCTTCGAATAAAATATTTCGAAATTATTTTGAAGGTTTAGGGAAATAAACATTTGAATTTTAGTCATCGTTGTTCTTCAGACTTGTCGAATAGGATATTGAAATGACTTTGAGAGGTTGCTTTTTCGTTACAGCATAACAATCAATATGTACTTTTCTTCCAGCAATTGAAATTAATTTGAAATTTTTCATATATTTTCTCTGATATTGAATTTTGTTTACTAATAATTTACCATCCAACGAATTTGCATGAATTGCATGTTAAGAGGTTAGTTGATTTATTATTGTATATTGTGAGCTGATTTGGAACGAGTGCACTATGCCCACCCTAAATTAAACCGTCTCAGTAGTTTACCGTAATTAATAATCTATTTTCGGAATTTATACGAGAATTTTTGAATTTTAGTAAATACTAGAGTCAGTGCATCGCGTATTGAAATAATAGCTTCATCCCTAGTTCGTTTATTATTGAATATTTTTACGCGTTTAACTTATGCTTCTCCCCAATTCTCGTCGCGTATTTTATTCAAATTTTCTTATATTCTAGAATCGAAAAAGATATCAATTCGCGTTTTTTCTTTTGATTCTTTCAATTTTTCACTCTCGTTCTACGAAAGTTTACTTCAATAATAATATTGAAAATTTTTCTGGTGATTTGGTTTAGTAGTTAGTTGTGTTGTGTATTGCCAGCTCAAATATGAGCTGCTTAAAATGTATTTTCTTGTGGCCGCCTGACAGCAACCTGTAAATCTGGCGCGACAGTGAACGTGTTAATAAGTAAATGTTGTTCAAATTATATCGTGTTTGATATCATTTTCATCAGAAAAATCTCATCAACATGTTAAAGAAAATTCCAGTTGAAAAAAAGTAAAATTAAAGAAATTATATTTTTCTATTATGATTTGTGGAGCCGTGAAATCTCTTAAAGGAAACCGACTGGTGTAGCGTTACACTCTTGACTGACTGCAAGCCAGATAATATAGCCGCAGCAATGACGCAGACCTAGGCATAGGACCATCTATACTGTCACTTGTAGAATCCAAACTTACTGACTCTTGTAGAGAATTTACTGTACTTCGAATTGAATTTATCACCATAGGCTATAGAGTATAAAGTATTTTAATTTCGTTTTTATCCCGAGAGTGCACGAACAACGTTGCGAGTTATAAAGCTAAATATTTCTAATTTAACAACAGTATACATTGATTGCGAGTCTCATTGATCTTTGTCGAAACCCTAAAATTAATGCAAAATGCACAACAGTGGTGTTTCTATGTGAAATGGTTCATAGCGAATAGCGTACGAAGCCATTTCACATAGAACTACTGTCAATGTACATTTGTGTTAGTTCTAAAGATTCGACAAAGATCTATAAGACTTAGTGCACAATTTTTTCAAATGCATACACTGTATACTTTCAACAATATTAATATTATTGTACGTAGTTTTATAATAAAAATAAAATTCAGGAAAATGTATATGAAATTCCACATTTACTAGATACTAATTATCGCTATAAATTGTAAAAATTTGAACTGTTTACATAATGTTATATTATTTGCAAATATATATGACATATTTTACTGCTAATATATGTTTTATTAATTACACGAATGTATAGTAACTTAGAAAATTTCATTACTGCCATCTAATGGATATGTTTATAAACTACATATATGGACATACAGGAAATTCTACACTAGTGAATCGAGTATTCCGTTAGTACAAGGTATCGATACGGAGGTGCTGTTGTTGGAATGCAAAGGTTCTGCATGTCGGGCGGGTCAGATATATGATGTAGAAATTGAAACTACGGCAATTTTAACATTCATATCTGTGAAACACGTTGCAAGACAAAAGGTAAATGTTTCATATGTTTTTCCAACAAAAGTGGATAGTTTTAAGCTAGTTCGTTGTGTAAATATTATTATATGACAGATGGATATTCTCTATTCGGTATTGAATATTGCAATGTGAATTAATTATTGTACTACTCGCTTGCAATTAATATTTACCAGTGAACAAATCATTTATTTTCTGACCTTTTCAAAAATCCATTATTCGTATACATATTCGTCGCGGAACAGAAATTGACCTGAAACTGACGTCACGGAACAGAAATCAATAATCGCAGTAAACCCGGTTGAAGTTCCGTTAATAAGTTGCGTGAAACCTGTCAAACATTTTATAATTTCTACAATATATTTAAAACTATTTTCTGTGTTTGAATTAATTTTTTATAAATAATGTATTTGTGACTATTGCTTAGGTATTAACAAAATAGTACAATGATGTCTGACAGAAAAGCAGAGCTTGAAAGAAAGAAAGCCAAGCTGCAGGCTATTAAAGCGGAAAAGGAAAGACGCAGGAAAGAAAAAGAACAGAAAGATGTATGACATTTTTATCCAAATTGCATGTCTGTAATTATGTTGTTTGCTTCTTTTACTTACTAAACTTCTAAACTAAAGGTTGAGGAAGCTACAGTTCGTGCTGCGGGAGCAGATAAAGATCACCGCAAGGAATTGGATGCTATGCTTTCATCTTTAGGTGTAGCACCAGTATCAGGTAAGTAATATTTTTTTGATACTATGTTATATACCTTTAGTTTTGTACTTATTATTTTTATGCAATTCATTTTGTTTACAGATGTATTATCTAGTTTGTCTAGTATGAACTCTTTAACACCGGAACAAAGTGCTAATGCTACTCCTGATGCTAGTTTACAGCCATCTAGTATAAATTCTGCTCAAAGGTATTTATATTGCATTGAATGATTTTTAGTGAGTGCCTGATATAAAAATATATTTTCATTTTATAATTTATATCTTTCTCCTATAATAGTACGGCTAGGAAGAAGAATCGGGAACTTACAATTGTTTCTGTGGCGCATACCAATATTCCACCAAAGGAACCAGTTGTGTATACTAAACAAACGCAAACTATTCAGACATCGCACACATCTCACGACGGTGAGTCACTAGTTTCATTTTTTAAATTACAGCACTTTGTGTTTTTTTCAACTGCGAATTCAAAATGATATTTAATTGAACAATTGTAGTATTTGCATTATGCTAACGTTAATTTAACCAAATTAAACTATTATATTGATCTTAAAAAATAGGAGTATTGACTGACACTTATAATAATGAAATTTATATTGCTGTGGTCCTTAATTCTTTGTATTCTAAGACTTTAATTGCAAATTTAACAAATTATATTAAAATTTTATATTGTCCCATAAGAAAAAAACTATACAAACTCCAAATAAAATTGCAGTACAATTGTAAAAAAGGTGATGTGTTATCCATAAAATGAACTAAACAAGTAAAATACAAGTTTCTCACATAAAGCTCTGTTTTTAGGAAAATTAATTTTGAATATTTACTATATACACATATACATACAGTTGTGGTCCAGAGATGCTTCAGGCAATTAT